CAATCAGCTCCAACCCCACTGGCAGTTAAAAGGAAGAAACAGCTGCGATCACACACCACTCTTAGAAGCACGAAGCTGAAGACACCAGCCTGAAGATGACGAATGTGACTTCGTCGAAACGTCGCCAAGGTACTTTTAATTCTACGCGGGAGAAAACCCGAATAACTAAAGACCTACATATATATATATATATATATATGCAGGTCTTGGCGTATTCGGGTCTTTTCCCGTGTAAGATTGAGAGTATCTTGGCGACGTTTTGACGAGGTCCCACTCGTCATCTTCAGGCTGGGGTCTTCGGCTTCGTGCTTGTGCGAGCAAAGTGTGATTGCACAAGCACGAAGCCGAAGACCCCAGCCTGAAGATGACGAGTGGGACCTCGTGGAAACATCGCAAAGATACTCTCAATCTTACACAGGAAAAGACCCGAAAACACCCGTGAAAACCTCAGAAAACAAATATATATATATATATATATATATATATATATATATATATATATATATATATATATATATATATATATATATATATATATATATGGGCTAAAAATCTATTGATGAATGTAATAAATATGTTTTTACTTAGCAGTAATAATAAAAATTACTAGCTTAAAAATGAGATAGTAGATATTAAGAAAAAAAGAGAGGAAGTATTAAATGTTGAAATAGAAATTTTGGTTACTAAATTCAAGATATTTGGAAATTACCAGAAAATAAGAATATTATATTGTATTATTAATCAGTTGATGTAAAATGGTGAGAATTCAAATAGATAAGACATGTATCCTGAACATTAGATCTTGTGATGAATTGTCATAAAGGGAATTAGGTTATTTAAAACTTGGAAATTATAAATATTAAACGTTAAATTTAAATATTAATGGGAAACTAAAAATTGGGAAAAACTAACCAGGACATCGATTGTCTAAAAAGATTGAATGTTAAAATAACTAGGATATGTATAAACTAAAAATTATTGATAAATGTAAGAAACTTATTTTTATTTAATCGATATAATAAGAATTGTATTAATTTAAATATGAGACAGTAAATACCAAAGGGAAAAGAGAGAAAATATTTAATGTAATAGTTTGTGATCTGTACTAAAGATATTTGTATGTTATTGAATTATTGACCAACTCAGCCGCCACGTTGCTTTTCAAATATTTAAATGTAAAACTAGAAAATCAATAACATTTTCTTAAAAAAAAAAGATATAATTGGTTCAATAAGGCACAAGTAACTGGGTTGGCACATTGTACTAAGCCATATATCATAGCAACCAAATTACAATGAGCTGAATTCACATAACATGTTAAGCCAAACCAAACAAATCACATTACACGAATCAGACAAAAAACTGGCTAACAGCACTTTGGAATGCACAATGTCTCTCCTTGAAGGTTTATTTATTTCTTATTTCCAATTTGATACTGCCTAGTTTCAATTGACTCTGGAAGGCTGAGACCATAAACATCTGGATAACACAAAATAACAAATATACAATTCAGATGAAAGCATAGCAATAAAGAGATGGCAGTTCCAGTCAACACAACATATCCAATATGTAATAAGAGGTACCAAACACCCGAGTTCAAAGCCTAGGAGAAGACCCAGATTTTAAAATCCCCTAGAATGTCATCATGGTGGGAGCCATACATATCTCAGGAAGAACCTCATTCCAGAGGGCACACTGTATGACAAAGAAAGCAGGATTGTGGGGTCCTGACAGATGGCATTGCTTGATTAAAGGAATCTGGAGTGTGACAGTCCTGTTTGAATGAACCTTCCAGGCAAACACCACAGGATATGGGTGATTCCCTGAAGTAACCAAGTAATCAATCTCTATGTCACGTAGGGCTTTATAGAATAAATCAGCATCTTGAATTGCACTCAGAAGCAAACTGGCACCCAGTGCATGGTATGTGGGGAGACAGGGTGAAGGGATGCTGCCTAGGGAATGGTAAGGTAAGAAATAACATAGCCTGCAGCTGGATAGTGGGTGGAGGAAGAGGCTCAGAAGGAATCATCTCTAGTTTCTTTGGCTGTAAAGGAGACAGCAGGAGAATTATAATAATGTCAACTTTACCAGGCAGAGGAGACAGGAAACACAACCAGATAAGTTAATTCTATCTATTGTTCAGTTACATTAATCAGATCTTGCAAATCTGCAAATACAATTCTTTCATCATCTTCTGAATGGATAGATGTGCCACCTCCATCCTGACTCTATCACAGATTATCCACAAGTACAACTAATGCTGTCTCTGTACTGAATTTCTGCTTGAACCTGACCAGAATGGGTCTTAATAATCTGCTTCTTCCAGAGTTCTCATTAACTGCAGACTGACTATCTTCTCAACAATGTTCCCTAAAAAAAAGGAAAAATGGGTAATAATTATCTAAAATGATTGGATCCAAGGATGGCCACCACCTTGCTCAAAGAGACCAATACTGGCTACTTTCAAGAGGGAGTCTGGTCCAGATGAGCAGAGAATCTTGTCTACTTCCTCAAGAGTCATTGGTTCACACTCCCATCTCAGAACAGACCACAAATAAGGTTCTAGCCATCTTGGAAAGATTTGCCTAGCCAGAGTTCAAATCAAGCATGTCTGAGCAACTTTATTCACCAATAGCCTGAATATTTCCTACTGGCTTGATAGGAATAGCAGTTCTACTGACTCAGACATTTTGTTTTCACAAATTTTCCTAATCATAGTTTACTTAGCCATAACAAATAATTCTGGGTGATAAAGTTTGAGATCATGTTTCACACTAAGACTATTATATTAACCAATAATATAATTTGCTACAAGAAATATTATTGGCTGATTATGCACTATCACGTTGCTGTCTACTCTTATCTACATCATAGATAAATATTTCAAATTAATATTCTTTTTTAATCTAACATTACAAAATAAATATTCAAAACACAAAGTCTAGGTACACTGCCCTACAACTTCTCATCTGCCATAAGAGTGCACAACAGCAATGATACCAACCTGAAATTGTGCATAAACTGCTGAAACTTGCTGGCCCTTTTTGCCAGTGGCACTATGACATTAATAAGAGTGTGGGCCATATTGAGGTTTTCATTTGCGACATTCATGATGGGGCCAAATGGTCTGAAAAGAACAATGCGCTTGAATTCATATTTTTTGCTTCCTTTGAATATCAACTCATATAGAGTGCCTTTATCTCTTTCAGTCCGGTGAATGCCTATTAGAAAAGAGAAGGCAATTATTAGCTAGAATTTCTAAAGTAAAAAAAATGTTTATATATAATCCCCCTGATTTTATTTCTTTAATTTTAGCAGTAGACATTTATAATTTTATAATATATTGTCTTATGAATTCCTTATTTGGAAATCATGTATTACTACAAATTATCTACTGCTCTCAGTGGCTTATTAGAACATGTAACACTAGCAAAAAATTATGAAGTCTTTTGAGGATGGAAATACATGCAGCAACCTTACCTTCATTTAAGACATCCCCACCCATAATTTTTTCATTCATTCTTAAGTGACGTCCCAGAAAACACACCTTCTATGAAGTCAGAGATGGAGTATATTCGATGATTTATGTTGCTGTTACTCTTTGGCCTATTTAAAATCTCCAGCCCTGACTCAATAGCTTCTGCCAATTCATCCCTCTTGTCCTTACGCACAGGCTTTTCCTCAGGATGACGTAAAAGTCCCATCTCCAGCTGATAAACTTTTTGTTGAGTGAAGCTTTCAAAGGGCAATGCAGCATATTCAGTTGGTAGCTTGATGCCAGTAAGTATTTCTGCTTTGTCAATCTGGGAATGGAGGAACTGCAGCAGAGTTTTCTGGGATTTCTCAGAGTTTCCTAGGTCTAATCTAACCTCCTGTGCATCTTGACCTTGCATGTTCTTCAGTAGTTCGCTCCTTTCCTTAAGCTTATCTTTCAGCTCAGCAATTTGTTTTTTCAGGCTGTTAATATGGTCCCAATAATATTCTTCTCCTTTTTGTAGGATTGCCTGATATTCCTCTTTTCCTGTTGGGCTGTTAACTCTGAAGAATGCAGGTTGCTGATGGTTACCTCTTGGTGTGCAGGTCAACATGTAGAACACAGATGCTGCACAGCAGAAGAACACAAGTACAACTACTATTCGAGAGAGCCATGCTATTATACCACGACGAGCCATCATCTGCTAAGCAGCTGGTGATACCCACATTCCTGTAACAGACTGAAATTTCCTGCAATCTTTTTAGAATTCAGTTCAGAAGTTATACACATAGATATGTTTTTGAGTGATTGATTTCAATATAACCTGCATACAATATCTGACAACTGGACAATGTTGCAAGGTTATTTACCAGCAGTACTAAAAGCTTCATTGAAAGACCAATGTTGGCATTTGAAGGATATCTGTTGATTCTGGATAAAAATGGATAGTTGCCCACAGCAGAGAGAGAGAATGATCTGGAAGCCAAAGCAAAGACATATTGGATTAATTCCTGCGTGAAGAAGCTTCATCTTCAGAAGAAGTAATCATTGAATGGTGTGATTGATTCACATCTGTTTGGCTACAATATACAGATCTGACAACCAAGAAATTCTTATTTACCTAGATCAGTGATGGCGAACCTTTTAGAGACTGAGTGCCCAAACTGCAACCCAAAATCCACTTACGCATCGTTGAGTGCCGGGTGGGTGTGGCCCATTGGCTGGGCGTGGCCCATTGGCTGGGTGTGGCCCATTGGCTGGGCGTGGCTGCGGTGGTAATGGCAGACTGGGTGGGACTAAAAAGTTCAATCAATCAATTCCAACTTTGCAAGATCGTTTTTTTTCCCGCAAGAAGTTGATATTGACTGATTGAACTTTTTTTTTTTGCACACAGCAGCGGAGGCCTAAAGCGAAAAGGTTTTATAAAACCCAGCTGAAGGCCTAGGACTGGGGTGACGGCGCGCGTGCCCACAGAGAGTGCTCTGAGTGCTGCCTCTGGCACCCGTGCCATAGGTTTGCCACCACTGACCTAGATTTTAAGATAGCTGGCTTCATGTCTAAGGGACTACTGGAGGAATTCGTTGTCTCCTGGTTTCTAGCCTGATATTTTGAGTACAAGAACAAACTGGCTGTCCAGTTTACAATGAATAATTATAACAATTAGGATATCATTTCCTTCTTTAAATAAAACCCATTGATGTACCTATAAAAGAACAATTAGTTTCTGTGTTTACTTAATTTTTTCCCCCTCTTCTTTCAGGGTCTTATGTTTTTTAAGTATCTTTTAAGTAAAACAGTTGTGCTAAAACGGATTCCCCACTTTTTATTTGTTATTGATCTTTGAAAAATAATGAAAACCATTGTGTAAACACTCGAAATCATGCCTTGAATAATAAGTATTCTGAATTCAGCCTCTGACATCTCTATTTAAAAGGACCTGGTAATAGGCATTTGGAAGGCTTGTGCCAGTCAAAACAGAAGAAAGTGCTCTAATTCAGCTAAAGTTACCTTCATTTGCTATCCTCTCCAATTTTTCAGATCTTTGCATGCTAATTATAGTATTTTGTAATGAATAGTGTGACTTTTTATCTGTTTTAGCAACAATCTATGATTTATATTTTCTAGGATATTTGGAACATCATTTGGTATTATGAGAAGTTTATATTTTATGTAGTTTTTGTTCAAGAATGTGGCATCTGTTTTATTAACAAATCTTTTTGCATCTTTTTATAAGATACTAATCTTGTAATGCTTATATTATAAATTATTATAAAATATCTTTATGTATAAGATATAATCAAAAATATCCTTAAAATATGACTGAATAATTTTCTAAGTTTTGTAAGGATGGGGCAAAAACAGAGGAGGAAAACAAGAAAGGTAAAATAATTCAGTGTTGGCCTCAGAAGATATAGTATTTTGTAATGAATAGTGTGACCTTTTATCTGTTTTAGCAATAATCTATATTTTATAATTTATATTTTCTAGGATATTTGGAACATCATTCAGTATTATGAGAAGTATATTATTTTATGTAATTTTTGTTCAAGAACGTGGCATCTGTTTCAATGCCTTGAATAAATCCTATAGTCAAAACACAATGGATATTTCTTATAAAATGAAATACTATTTCTTTGCAACAGTTTGAAATCCACCTTTCTTTCCTCCATCCTGTATGAGTGCCAATAGCATGATAACTTTTCATGCTTTATATATCAACCAATGCCCATACTTTTAGTCTGCCTGGAGCAGATATGTCAAACTCAAGGCCCACGGGCCACATCCGGCCCGCAATATGGATAGCTGTGGCCCGAGGGGCTGTCCTTGAGACAGTGAGGGACTGGCCCCCACTGCCTCAAACCCAGCCCAGGCCAGCCAGGCACCAATCTATAACTTTGGAGCAGTGATCCAAAACCTGGTCAGTCTTAGATCCGTGGGGCCAACCTGGAGACAGCGAGTGGCAGCCCCTGCGCCTCAGCCCCACCCCCGGGCTGCGCACAGAATGCGGTGAGCTGCGGGTCCTGGTATCCTGGGTGAAAGGGAAATGATCATGGGCTGTGAGGCTGGGCCAGTGAGCAAGTCATGGAGATGCTGGTGGTGGGCACGGTGTTGATTTACAACTTTGAGGCGGCCATCTGAAATGCAGTCTGTCTTAGATCTGCAGGGCTGCACCTGCTGCCTTGGCATCACCCCTGGGTGTATGCGCAGGTGGTGAGCTGTGGGGCCTGGCATCTCGATGAAAGAGAAGTGCTCAGAACACGGCCCCAAAGTTGTAGATTGGCACCTTGCCTGCCCCTGCACCAGTGCCTCCATGTTCGCTTGCCGGCCCAGCCTTGCAGGCCATGAGCACTTCTCTTTCACCGGGACCATCCCCACCCCTGCATGGGAAATCCACGGGCTTCAGGAGCATGGCCACCAGTACTGCTGCCAACCTCTCCCCCTCCCCTCATCCCTTCCTGGGCATGGAGAGAGGGAGAGAGGGAGAAAGGGAGAAAGGGAAGGAGGGAGGGAGGGAGGAAAGAGATAGGAATGTGAAGGAGGGAGACAGAGAAGGAGGGAGGGAAACAGGAAGGAAGGAAGGAAGGAAGGAAAGAAGGAAGGAAGGAAGGAAGGAAGGAAGGAAGGAGATGGGAATGAGAAGCAGGGAGGCAGGGAAGGAGGGAAACAGGAAGGAAGGGAAGGAAGGAAGGAAGGAAGGAGATGGGAATGAGGTGGGGAGGGTCTGAGGGAAGTCCTTCCTTAGCACTTGGCCACCAGCAGTTCTGCTGCCTTTTTGCCATCCCCTTGCCCCATCCTCCTGACCTCTCCTGGTGGTCTCCCATCCTATCCCTGAGCATGCTTTGATTACAGAGCCAGGTCTCCTTGCATGGAAAGGAAGTAGGCCTTCCTCTGACCCGTACACTTTGCCCTCCTGAGGAATCTGGCCAAGGAGATTGAGCAGAGTAGCAGCAGCCTCAAGGAGGTAAGAGCAGCTGGGCACATTCTCGGGGGGCTGGGCGTGGGGTCCAGTGCTTTGGAGTTTGAGGGCTGTGCTGTGTGCTTACTCTTCACTGCCCAGGGCTTCAGGCAGCCCGCACCACAGTCAAGGGCCCCCCGTGGCCCGAGAGGGATGGCAAGGTCCTCCGGTGGACCATGCCCTAGCGAATGTCCCGGTCGCATCCCCCTCTGACGGTGACCCCTGGATCACATCCACAGCCCTGCCCAGTCCCCCAATCACCACCGCCCCGCTACGTGAGTGACGTTAAGCCAGCCACGCCCACCTGGCCATGCCCACCCAGTCAGCCATGCCCACCCGCCTCGAGGGTAACCACAATGCTGATACGGCCTCAATGAAATCGAGTTTGACACCCCTGCCCTAGAGTGCAATAGCTGTGGTGGGTATCTACTTATTGAATAAGGTCAACATGGTCTATGAAATACATCTGCATCTACATACTTCAATATGCTTGTTAATTGCTCCTTTGGTAGACTGCCGGGCCTCAATAAATTCATGTGTGTGGCGGGTGTTGGCATGCCCAATGATTTTTGTTCATTCCCAATCGAATTGGTGTTGTTTATTATCAATGTGGTTTGAGATCAGGGATTTTTGGTCATGCCATTTAACTGCTAGTTGATGTTCATGAACCCTTGTTTTCAATTGCCTTCCTGTTTGTCCCACATAGAACTGGTTACAATTGTTGAAATTGATTTTGTATACTATGTTGCTGTTGTCTTCCTTCTGTATTTTGTCTTTGACTTTAGATAGCTCTTTTCTGAGTGTAAATGTGGGTTTGTGAACTATCATTATTTGTAGGGGTTGCAGTATTCTGGAAGCCATTTCGGATGTTCCTTTGATGTATGGCAGGACCTGTTTTTGTGTTGTGGCTGGCTGTGTATTTTGTCGAGGTTTGGATGATAAGCACCGTATTATGAAATTTTGGGGATAGCCATTGCAGAGGAAAACATCGAAAAGATGTTTCTCTTCTGCTTTTCTTAATAATTCAGTGCTGCAATGTCTTTTAGCTCTTTTGAAAAGGGTCTGGATGCAGCTCCTCTTGTGTGCAGTGGAGTGGTTGCTTGTGAAATTTAGAATTTGGTCTGGATTTTCAGTATATGCAGGTTGTTAATTCACCATTATCTTGTCTCCTTATGTCAATTTCTAGGAAGAGGAGTCATTGCTCTTTTTCTTCCTTGTGTATAAAACTGATCTCAGTGAATACATTGTTGACTAGATGGCATGTCTTTTCTAGTCTGGTGCGTCTGATGATGATAAAAGCGGCATCCACATAATGTACCCAAAACTTTGGCTGGATGGTTGGCAGGACTGTGCGTTCAGGTTTCTGCATTACTGCTTCTGCTGTTAGGCCAGATACAGGTGATCCCACAGGTGGGTCTTGTCCTTGTTGATAGATTTTGCCATTGAATTTAATGTTATGAGGCATAATTCCAGAAGTTTCATGGTAGCATCAGTGGACATGGAGTGTTCTTTAGGAATCTTTTTGTTATGGCTTTGATTTTCTGTGAGGAGATCATAGATGATTTGTTTGGCCAGGTCAGTGTTGATAGATGTGAATAATGCAGTGACGTCAAATGACATCATTATTTCTTCTTCATTTATTTTGTCATTTTTAATTAATTGGAGGAATTGTTCAGGTGAGTTTATAGAATAAGCTGAATTGTTGACAAGATGGTGAAGTCTTTTTCTTAAGGTTTTCGCCACTT